CTAGAGACCAGCCATGGACACATACTGCACTCGGCAGTGATATTTATAGGATTGTTAACAGTCGAAGAGATGTGAGGCACAGCCCTGTAACATTATTTCCTTTGCCTTCAAAAAGCACTTCTCTGAAGTGCCCGGAGACATCCTGTCTTAGGGGTTATTCCCAGTTAAGATAAACCAAGTGAAAATGTGTGACTACTGTCAAAAGAAGAATAATGTTAGTGCTTACAAAAGCTCCCCTTCAGATATGAACACCGCACCGTTACGCATAACCTCTTTGTTTGATTTCTCTGTCATATTTTCTCACACTGGAGATGGTCCCAAAGCAAACCTCTGAACGCAAGCACAGAACATGATTAAGAATCAAAGCCTAGAACACCAGAACATATGTTTGGCTTCTTGCTTGCATCTTTATAGATGTACAGCCAAAAGCCTCAGTGCAAACACCCTTGAATATTTGTATGTTTTTGCAAAACAGGCCAAAATATTCGTGCTTAATACTATTAACCTTTTGCTGACTAAACCTTTGATGCAAATCTAGTAATTGCTGTTGATTCTGCAGGGAAGAGCTGCCCTGTTTGACCCAAATACAAGGCTACCTCAGTCTTGCTTGTTCCCCAGATATTCTGATTGCTCCTTCAAGTCAAGAGAACATTGCTCCACACTTCTGAGTCCCTGAGGTGGGTTCCCATAATGTTCAGGCCCTTAGACAAACTCTGGGAGTGCAGCTCCATGTGGTATGGACCCACCATGCTTACTTTAAGAGGACAAGATGCAGTGGTTTCCGTTGGCAGCTGGTGGCCGGTGATTAAGACAAAAGTAAAACACGAATTTCTCATATTAAGCTGGTTTCCTCCTAGCAATAATAACATTAGATAGCATGTGAGATAGTTACTTTAGCAAGAGAAAAGGTCTTCAGTATGACAAAAGACCTGTGCACATATCTCTCACATCTGGAAAGCACCCATACTCTTTTTGCAAGGAAAGTCAAACTTACCTGCAAATTCTACTGCTGGAGGTCTCACATCATCAGATCCCTTGATAACCTGGAATTTGTCTCCATCCTTCTTGTGTGCTTGTGCGACTCTTCTAATTCTGCTGAACGGTTCTGCTCTCCCAGTCCTCCAGCTTTCTTAGCAGTCTCAGCAGTCTGTTGACATCCCATACAGGTCAAGACAAAGTGCCAAACAAGTGATTCTGGCAATAAATCAAGCTTTTGCCCACGTTTAGGTGTTCAGTGTCTTTCCCTCCTTGAGGTTGTTTCTGACAATCTCACACAGTGAATTAACAAATAGCAGACTCACAGAGAGATTTTTACATGTAGGACTAGGAACTAAGCAAACTATTTACAAAGTATACAAAAGCCATTCTGGCTACTACATTGTGGATATGATCCAGGGGATACCCTGGTGTGGTTTTTTTTTTGCACACCCAAAATCCCAATGAAAATAAAATTATTTAGGACAGAAAAGATGAAACAAAAAAAATCTCATTTAAAAGTTACTTCAGAAAATTTCAGCATGGAACAATTTAATCATGTTCATTAACCAGATTCCAAATAAAATCAGCTGTCTTCTAAACTGAGAACAGAGAAAAATTAGGACAAGATATATCTGTGAAAAAAAGTTAGACTTTTTTTATGCCAGGAGAAGTCAGCTAAAAGCTCCCTCCATTCAGGCACCTGGGTTTCGTTTCATAATAGCTTCGGTCCATTGTTCCTTATTATCAGAGCTGACTATGTTCAAGCTAAGGCAGATCTTGTTCCTAAATTTATGTCTCTGTGTGTGACCACTACAATATGTGTTTTGTATGCTTTTTCCTGAAAGCCTAATATAGTGATACCTGTGACACGGCTTGGACTCCCCCTTTCATGTATATTACCAACTTGAACTGCAACCTGCTGGTAGATTTTTCTTAAACTCTAAAATGAGGGTCTAACCTTCTCTTCTTTTTCTTTTTCTTCTCTGTTACCTATAATCTTGATTTGACTCACACAAAAGTGACACAGTGGGAAATCCACTCAAGAAGACTTTGACAACTAACAATGGAAACCTACCTACACGAAAGTTGAGTGGTGGCGTTTATAGTGAAAAAATGTATTCAAGTTTAAAGATGTCAACTGTGTTAACTGATTCGTGTTGGTTTTGTGTGTTTTTGTCAAAAGAAATGTGCTGCGGAGTCACCTCTGTTAGAGTAAAGAAAACTAGCCAGAACAACATCACCACTAAAAAAGACAGAAATATTCTGGAAAGAAAAAAAAAACCCGAAATATTTAAGTTTGAGTAAATATGATTTTTAGGTTGGACCAAATCCAAAAGACTTATATGGAAGAGTGAAACTTGAGCATATGTAAATGCAGCTAACATATAGAATTATTTATACTCCTGTTCCTTTTGCCATCTCTGACATGAAAAATATTGTTATTTTATGCAGTACCAACGGTGTGCTAAATGTATCTCACAGCTTAAATTAAAATAAGACCACTGTAGATTTTTTAGTAGTAGCTACTGATTGTTTTGGCTTCAGTTTTAGAGTTGAAGTTGAGATAGTTTACACAGACTCCTTTCCCCCTGGAATGAAAGGAATCCGCTGCTTCCTGCAAACCAGCCTCCTTCATCAAATGGGACACCCAAGGCTGTGAGTTGCCGTTGGAAATCTGGGGCATTTCATCCCAGAAAAGAGACGTAAGTCAGTACAAAGTTCAAAGATGCTAATACTCCAGTAAAAGATCTTGACTGAACCTATTAGGATATTAAAATCATTGATGTTGTACAGTCAGTCCTCATGTGCTCTTGACTGGGTCTGCTCGACGAGGCCATTTCTTGTTGCTGGTCTCAGCTGACTTGAAGCAGTTTATCTCACCAGTACATTCACTGCTAATAGACTCTCTTCTTGCAAAACATATCAAATATTCTGCAAATGTGAAACTCAACCTAAAAATTGTCCTTTGGGTCAGGTTACAAACGTGAAGTGGAATTGACGCTGCTATGACATCTCCATGAAATGCAGGACAACAGGTAAACCTGGTGGCTCTTGGAAGGAACCAGAGGTACTGAGATGCAACAGTGACAAGCACTATGTAAGGTGGGAATGGAGCAGAAAGGGTCTGAACGAAGAAGAGACAGAGCGGCTGCCACATCGCTGAGTTCATTCATCCGGGTCTGAGTAGCCTGAAGAAGGGACAGAGTTCAGAGGGTCTGTACTGTTGTTGTCCATGCTATGGGTGATCTCTGGCTGAACAGAAGGCTTTAATGAAGCAACAGATTTGTAGATGGCAAATCTTTCCCATCTGTGTATTGCCTACACCTGAGTGATGTCTGTTAATTTAAATTCACTTAAAAATTTAAAGAGGGAGCGGAAAAGAAAAAGATTCTCTCTCGAAACAATTTGAAGTGAAGTCACTTTGTTCAATGTTTTTTCACTAATAGAAGCTCTTTGTCAGCCCTCATGATGCAGAGGAGAAGTTTATAAAAGCAAGCTACCTGGCTGCTTCAGGAAAGTTCACGCAGTAAACAGGGAACTAAAATTCGTCATCAGTACAATAAGGAGTACCCCAGAAATCCAGTGAATTTCATCTCCCACTGTTGTGGCAACCCTGATTTTGCTGTGCAGCTGCTGAGCACGCCTATTACGGAGTAAGAGCCAGCGCACCTCATGACTGCACCTTTTTTACAGCCATTTTAGAGCCAGGGCTTGGTTAACGTATATCACAGACTGCTAGGGATGTAATTTGGGCACCTTGTTTTGTTTCAGCCATGAACAGGCATTTTCTGGTATGGTGCCTGGTACACAGCACATCTTCCCCACATGGACCCTCCACCTCAGCCCACACAAGGGCTATCGCAGGACCACGGCTCCCATGTGGTTCACCTGATTTCTCCTACAGCTTCACTGCCAGAGAAGTCTTAGCATCAGAACTCCACGAGATGAAAGCCCGCTAAACTTTCCAACCAGAAAAACCCCCGAATTTCTGTGATTAAATGAAACAAAACAGCCCTTTAAATTCTACTTAAGATGTGTTCAAGTACAGACGGGGGTTACAGTGTCTGTCGGGTAGTCAGGGTAATTGACCCAGAGATACCTGCCCAGAGGAAGAGACAATGTTTGAAATTCCTGTTAGAAACAATTACGTACTTGACCTTAAAGTATGGGTCTTTCTGCTTTTATTTTTTCTCAGGAGGGCATAAAAAAAAAAAAAGAAAACAAAACCAAATCAAACCAGAGAGGCTCCCAAGTCTTTGAAGGCCCTGTTTGTGCCGAAGCAGGCTCTGTGAATCGGTAATTGGCCTCTCGGAGCCCAGGGGATGCGAGGCTGCTCAGCGCTCGGCAGGCAGGCACCACGCTCAGCACTTCTGCGGCCACCCCTTCCCCTTCCCCTTCCCCGCTGCGGGGGCTCTGCTGTGGTGGGACCTGCCATGGCTCCGTCCCCCAGCCTGCTCTCAGCACCCTCCTTGCTCAACCTCCCCCCCGCCTCCACCTGCCCTGCACAACGCTCCCACCCCTTTGCTCCATTGCAAAGGGCTGGAGAAGAGCTCATCCAGAGAAGAGGTCATCCAGAGAAGAGGTCATCCAGAGAAGCGGTTCGTCCAAGGATGTCAGTCTGTGAGCAAAGCGCTCAGGACGTAGTGTTGGTGGAGAACATGGTACCTGCCTCCACGGATAGCCCAAAGCAGAAGCAAAAGAGCAAATCCACAAACATGAAACTTGTCTTCAGCGTCATTAACTCTTTCCTGTTAAACTACCAGCTGAAATGACACAATGCCTCTGCGGGTTTTTCTTACTTCAGGACACGGGTGGGGGATGCAAGCAAGAGGCGCCTGCTTTGCCTAGCAGTAAGGCCAGAGCTGACCCCACAGGCAACTCTCTTAGATGCCCAGGCTAGGTCAGAAAACAGCCCTGCTTCTGGTCACCAGTCCCGTGAATTTTAGAGGGAATTCACTGCTTGATGTGTAGTGTGGCCCAGAGTCTCCCAAGGCAGCCCAGCGCCAGAGGATTAGGAGGCATCAGGGAGATGCTTCAGAAAACAGGAAGACGTCCACACTGGTGATAACTTCTCTGCAGGACATGCTTGTCCCCAGGGGCTTGCAGCGCTTCACGTGTTGCTCTTGAGGGCTCTGCCTTTCACCCAGGGCAGGGCCGCTCTCCTTCAGCCGAGGACGGGGAGGAGGTGGCCCACTGGCTGCACGGGGCAGCCTGAAGCTCCCAGCTGAAGAATTGCTCAGGTTTTCTTGGCGCTGGCACTGCCGTGGCTCGGAGGCAGACAGCATGGCAATCCCTGTGCACAGACACACCCAGGCAGGTAGAAAATTGCTCTCCTCCTCTACAGGCAACACCGTCTCAGCACAAGGATGTGTAGCCCAGATTTTACGCTTGCCCCTTCTGTCCCCATAACCAGATGGATTAGATCTTCAGCAAGACCATGAGCATTTCATGGGCAGCCACTTTGTTTCGCTGCTCGATCAGGAGAGAAGACACTGATTGTCCCAGCAGTTTCTCTGCGGCCTCTCTGGAAGGGAAAGCTCCTTGTGAGCCTGGCAGTGGTGCACAGCATTTTCCCGTTGGGTTCCTACTCCTGCTCCCTCCCTGGGGCTATGGGTGAAGTCAATCCCACCACGAAAACACACACACACACAGGAGAGAGATAACGCTCGGGGCCATGCATAGAACGGGCAATTTCAACCCTGCCGGTCCTGGGGAATTCAAACCATTAAAAAAAAGAATTAAGCCTTGCCAATGTCTTTGCTTTAAAAATCAAAACAACAATAACAAAAAGACCAGTCAGGTTAATTACACTAGAGCAGAGAGGAATCTCTAAGATGTAAATACATTTCCATGAACATTAAAAGCAAACCCCTCTCTAAAGTGTTTTTCTTTCACAAGCAAGCAAGAAAATGCATTGGATAAAACAAACTTTGCTTATTTTAGTTTTGACTCAATTACCTGTTAATGGAAAAAATCTGGCACTACTAATAATGAGGCAGGAATGAGATCACTGTTCTGGAGGCCTGGCTTGTCAGGGAAGCTTGCAACAAGAAGTGCATTTATCTGCCTTTCTATAACCCTTTTCAAGCACTCTGTCAGGGAGCCCAAACTGAACAGCCAGTTTAGGAGGAACTTGGAACCCGGTCCAGGCCCACTCGGCCCTCTGGGAAAAGGAAAATTATTGTTGGCAAGTCTGCCTGGCTCCAGAAGTTGATCCAGTGCCCCCCACTTGCCCATGCAGCAGCAGACAGAGCTAAGAATTTTGTTATAATTAAATAACGGAGTGCTGATTGGTTGCTGGAGGTGGTCTTGAAACTGGTGTTTAAGGCAGTGGAGAACAACGGTTACTATTCATAGAAAAAGCAGAGTCTTAAAATCCATCTGTTTCGTTCCAAATTTAGGCCAAAAAAATGCTCACTCACTGTCTTTAAAAATACCACCTGCTTAGCTATTTTGTATAATGTGCTATTATATAAGTTTGCAGGAGGAGCAGGCAGGGAGGCAGCGGGGGCTGAGAAGGGGCAGGGGAAACAGATTAAAAAGATATAGTCAGATCCAAAAATACCCCAGCAGCACAGTCAGAAGGGAACACAAAATAAGGGAGCAAAGGAGACATTTTCTGAGGGAGATTAAACCCGGGGTGTTTTCTAATGCTTGGACCCAGCTACTACAAATGGGCTTGTCTGCAAATAAGAGAATAATCGTTTTTCTCTTTTTTTTGGAGAAAACTCACCCTTCTTGCTACACGCGCCCAACTCCGGTCCTCGACATGCTGCAGGACTGTGGAAACACCGCGAGCCTTTCCCAGCCTGTAGACCTTTCTGGTGGGGAGCCAGCCCAGGGCATCACCCCCCGCCCGGGCAGAGCCCCTGCCAGCGGGTACCTCCCGCACGGGGCTGTGCCGCTCCCTGGGCAGCTGGTGCCAGCAACCGAGTCGAAGGATAGAGACAAGGAGCTGGTAACACCATGGCGTCTGCTTTTCCAGAGCAGCTTCGCGCTGCAAGCAGTAACATCAGCAAGGCCTGACGTCCCGCAGAAGCGTCTCCTGTCTCCCCATCGTCCTTTCCCTTCCTTCGTTTCCCTGCTGCTATCTTATGTAATGTTACATACTGCAGCTGCAGTGTCTCCAGTTTTCCCTGTACCCTTAACTCTCTCCCATGTCCCTTGTTCCCTTCAACACCCCAATGCTCTCCATGTCTCCTACCTAATCTTCTTGGCCTGCCAGCTGGGCAGGAGAGCGCAGATGCTGGTCCAGAAGTAGACATGTGATAACTGACCATTTGGATGCTGCCAGAGAGAACGGATAACAGCTGAGCTCTCCCTGCCTTTTCTTCAGCAGTGGATCTGGAAAGCCTCTCTTCTCAGTGCCAGCAGAGATTTCCCTGGAACTCACAGGGACTTCATCATCTCTGAGAGTTTGACTGCCGCTGTCAAATCTGGTTCAAAATGCCAGAAGACTCCAGAGGTATCAGGAGAGGGTCAAACAGATGGACAGACAGTGTGACTTCATGATTCCACTGCCTTAGAGGTCCAGGCTAACATCGTCCCCCCCTCAAATTACATGCATTTCCAACTCCAGAAAAAGAGCAACTCCTAGAACACGGATGTAAGTCATTAGTGAATATTTTGTGTTCATCCCTAAAGGAAATCAGTCTGGGGGCTGGCAGACTCCAGTCCTCAGAGGGTCCTTAAAATGGCCTGGTGACATTATAGACAATGATGGGCCATTGGGATGCTTTCAGCTGTAGCTGATCTGCCTCAAAAGTCTTACAATGTTTTTGGAGAACATCTTAAAATGAATGCCAAAGTACCTGTCTACGACTTTTTATAATATAGCAATTGCTGCAATCTCTGAGCACATTTGCATCTTCAGAGTTTTAAGGCTCCAAGTGCTTCAGCCTTCCTGTCCAACAAAGACCACTGAAGCTCAGTGTTGGTCCTGTACTGAATTTAGTCTTCAGCTGGAGCACCTCTCAAAATAGCACGCAAAACCTTCACCCAGACTCTTGGGTGAAGCACGCCTATGTGTAAGCCAGACATGGCTGGGTAGCACTGCCACACAAGCTCATTTTTATTATTATTATTGTTTGCTTTCATGACTGTTGCAATGGCCCATGCAACTACTTTACTGTGAATTCTCTTTACATCTTTTTATGGTCTAATGAAATGAACAGGACTCTAAAGATCACTCTTTTTTCCTGCCTTTCCCTTCCTTTTTTTTTTATTTTAAGCAAATCTTAAAACCATGTGGCACTGCTTTATTGAGTCAGCAATTGCTTAAACTTTTTAAAATTCCATACGCTAAGTGAAAAATGAGATTTACAAAACTAATGGAAAATAAATGTCTCCCGAACATGCAATATATCGGCTTGCTTCCTTGCCTTATCCCATAAAACCAGATGGAAGCAATAGCTACAGTGAATTACCCACTGTACGCAGGGCCCCACGCTGTCCCGCGGCAGCCCGGTATGAGGACAGAGCATGTCCCCGCTCTGGAGATTGCCCTCACTCCCGTAGATCTGAGGGTGGACGGGAACGTGGATCTGGGGGTGACCAGCCCACACCCCTGTAGCCAGCCACCAACCCCATTTTACACCTACAGAGTACGGGAAGGGCTGTCTTTCTGCCATGTTTCCAGCGTTCCTGGTCCAATGGGGCCCTCAGCTGTGACTCCTGGCCACAAAGCGAGTACAGATAAATAATGGCAAATTTCTCCCAGGAGCCTTGACCCAGGTCAGGGCTAGGTTCCCAAGCAAGGGAAATTCAGAGGCAAATCTGCAGGCGTAGGCCCAACAAGGGACACAGCCAATGCATGACCTACAGGAAACCCCAGCGGTTGCTTTCGCAGGAATATGCAATTGTTTTTCACAGCACGAATTATCCGTGACTCGTGAGCTCTGTGCAACCTACCTTTCGAACACGTGCCTCTCACAGCACACACAGAAGGAAAACCAATTTGTCCCGGAACGATGTTTTGGGACTCTGCTTTCCAAAGGCTTGCTAATAAAGCAGCGAGCGAAGAACACACTATTTTGAGAAATATATGACTCATACCTTGATGGTGTCTCCTTTGAATCATGGCGTTCAAAGATCTCCCTGGAGCAGAATGTTTTACTTTAGAAGAGAGCAGTTATCCCCACCAGAGATGCAGGACGTGTGTCTGGCTGATGGATGGCCACGCTCTAGCGAGAGTCAAAGCGTTTAGGAGAAAGGAAAAAAAAAAATTCCCTAGAAACCTTAAATAGCAGGAGAGTAGTTTGAGCATTGCGTTCAATTTGCTGGCCACCAGCAGCAGCAAGACTTGGCATTTTCTGCAAAGGCTTCACAGCAACATCGCCGCAGAGTCCCATCCCACCGGCGCTGCCACACGCCTGCCGCGGGAGGGGACATGTCCCACTGAAGCCAGGGGCAATGCCGCGTTAGACCACGAGAGAAACAGCATCAGGCCTTGGGTCAAGGGGGAGTTAAATGGAGCCTGGTAAAACATTCACCATGACTTCATCCTTCTAATTGTAAATATGAAGAAATACTCATGTATGTTACCCTTTACTATGACATTTGAAACAAAAAACGGCTTATGGCTTGTAAGCTAGTCATTAAAGACAGCGGTAGCAATTTAAAATACTATATATTCTGTTTAAACATTATTTAAACATTATTTAGTACTTCACCCAGTACCTCCCAGCCCCTCTATAGAGCAAATTCCTTCCGCAGCCAACAGCCGACGGCACAGTCTCCGCACTGGGACTGGGCTTCCCGAAATGGCCCCATTCCCAAGCCTCTGCAGAAAATCACCTCACTGGTTTTCCCCTACGAGGAAGAATACTTACCCTTCCCCCAGGGTCCATCAGGACCGATGGAAGAGAAGTGCATTACCTGAGCAATACAGTGGCATGACGGCGGGGAACAAGCCTGCTCCGAGACCTTCGCATTCCATTGCACTTGAGTGCCATTGTAGAAATTCCCATGGCTGAGATTCTCCAAGACGACGGGGGACTATGGTGACATCCGCTTGTGAGAAACTCCTGCAAATTACGAAGCTTAAATCCCTTCTTAGATTAAAAAACCCAACCAACCATTTAATAGAAATTCTTGCATGTAAGTTCACTTCGTGCTGCGGCACCTGCAGGCATTGCTGTGTTGGATGGATGCTGGATGCTCAGCGCGGAGAGCAGGCTGCGCTGCAAGGGCTCACTGTATTGAAAAAAACGTGTCTGTGTGCAAAAATGGCCTCGAATGTATCCAGGAGATAAACCCCAAGGCCAGCACAAGGACACCGACTAACCAGGGCTACCTATGCTCTCCTGTGTGACCTTTATCGTGCACCAGCCCCACGTTGTGGGATCACCAGGTTGACCACGAATGTTCTGAAATTAAAGGTATCGCCAGCCATGGTCTCCCGTCCCCCAGTCAGGATCACTTCAGAGGGACGACATTACTTTAGCTCATGGGCTATTTGTCTTTCACCAAATCACGTGCCATCTGCTTGAAGTAAAACAGCTTTTCAACTAACACAGCAAAAGCTTGCTGAGCAGGGAGAGGGCCAGCGCAAAATGAATTTAGCAGGCGGCAGCACGGGAACCCAGAGGAAGCAGAGGATTTCTCACCACCAGAGCTGGCTGCAAGCTGCCCCGAGCTTCACAGCATTTTTTTTGAGGAAGTTTTCCACTCGAGCTGCAAATCTTTTTGGCCACAGTAAAGCGCAGTCAAGGCATAAATGAGTTGACAAGTCATTCTCTGCACATACTAAGTTGCTTTTATTAATCCAGAACTGCATGCTACAGATACTGTACAGCATGAACATTTATTCATTACAAAAAATGGCTTCCAAACCATTAAAAATGAAAATCGGAATAAGAGCATAAAACGGAACAGTAACATCACAACTGTTAGGAAACATTCAAAGTATTCACAAAAAATGTTATAGTTAGCATCTTAATAAACCAGAGAAAAATCTGAGACAGTTTTACAATCGCTTCATGTCAACTACAATGGCACTGAATGAACAGATGAACAATTTTTCAGCTTTATACAGCGTTTTTTGCAACATCAACATGCCTAGGTTTTTTTTTTTTGTTTTAAGTTTGCTACCTACCTGTATGTAGTAAGTGTACATAAAAGTGGCAGTCTGATTTTCCTCTTATGAATAATCTAATATACAGAATTTGGCCCTTAAGGGTTTATACCTCTTCATTTTAAATGCTTTCCGGACAATCTGCTACCAAACACGTCTGTTATAGGTGACATTAAAACTACATACATATCTACCTATGTAACATCACAGCAAAACATGATGAACAAAAAAATTACAGCATTAAAAAAAAAATAATAAAATTGTCGGGAGAAATTTAAAAGTCACTGAGAATTTTGGCACATAGAAATTCTGCACACAGCCTACAGTCCTAATGTCGCAGGGGATTCAGCTGCAGTTCTGAACGGGAGACACTTGGACCTTGCTATTTTGCAAACAGCGTTGCTAAAAACTCCCTTGCTAAATTTTCAAGTCTCTTCATGTGTAATGGCTTTTAAAGCAAATTTTTTTTTAAACTATTGATCCTTGAAGAAATGCTTCTGCGAATGTCCATTTGGTGGCAACTGTGTTTCATATAGCAAAAAAAAAAAAAAAAAAAAAAAGAAAAGAAAAAAAA